CCCCTTCATCCACTGCTCTCCATCTCTTTCCTAGAAAGTGGGAACGGAAAAGGCAGAGAAGCTTCCACCCCTGACCTCCTCAACCCTCCTCCCAACGGTCTGGATTACAAAACCCATCCTCCTTGGTTGATTCCAACTTTTTCCGTCTACCCGGAATCCTTTGCCACTCACCTCCAGGGGTGGCTCGGGTGCCTGCCGGTGGGTCTGTATTGAACACCACATTGTTATCCTGGAAGGAAATAAAAGACCTCGTGAGACCACCACCGAGGCCGAGCCCTCCCTTTGCCAGTGGCTCTTCCTGCCCCCCCCTCCTGCCTTCAGACCAACAAACCTGTAGGAGACGCTGCAGGCGAGGGACATCCCAGTCACGCAGGTAGAAGAGGCAATCCCGTGGATGGTGGCCGTGGAGAGACCGCCGGATGTGACAGTCTGGGACGGGGCATTTCTGGAGGAAAGGGAGTCCGCGATCACCCAAAGCAAGCAAGACGGGTCAAATCCCCAACCCCATGAAACACATACATGAGATCCCGCCTGAAGACTTCTCTCCCTCAGGGGCCAACCAAGAGCTATTGTTTTTTAGTCGTTAGGTCATGTCTGACTCTTTGTGACCTCATGGACCAGAGCACGCCAGGCCCTTCTGTCTTCCATGGCTTCTCGGAGTTGGGTCAGATTCATGTTGGTCACTTCGGTGACCCTGTCCAACCATCTCATCCTCTGTCGTCCCCTTCTCCTCTTGCCCTCACACTTTCCCAACCAAGAGCTGAGCATTGTGCAATTTTAACAACAACAACGACAGCAATGACAGCAACAAGAACCTCTGCTGTCAATTACAGATTCAGACATAAATATGTGGCAGGAAAAAAAAATATATATGAAAGTATAAGAACGTTGGGTGGGATACGAAAGGGTTGGCCTAAACTTTAGAGGCCCTTCTAACAAGTGTCTCAGAGAGGTGGATTAAGAGTGAAAGCATTATTGGGGGGAAAAATAAAAAAGTTTGCCAAAACCACCGCTTTGGTTTGGAACAAAGAACCGGTAAGCGGAGACAGCAGGAGAGGTTCGTTGAGCATGTGGACCAGTTTTCGCAATGAAAATGTAAACAAGGATGCTGACGTTACGTGGAAAGAGACAATAACAAGGGGAGAAAATATGGGAGTCCAGTTTATTTGGACTCACGCGTTACGTTGTAGTCCCTCAAAGACCGCTATGTTTTAATGTGAGCTTTCACGGACAAGTCCACTTCCTCAGATGTAAATAAATCAGTACGAATTGTAACGTAAAGACGCAGTTTTAATTCAGCCTCTGGGGAACTGTGGGACGGCAACACTTCACCTCATCTTTAAGGTTTAGTCATCATCATCTTAGAGCTACAAAGCTGGAAGGGATCCCATGGGATCATCCAGTCTGACCCCATCAGGGAGGCACCACGGGGCGGGAATCGAGCTCCCAACCTCTGGGTCTGCAGCCAGATGCCTGAAGCATTGAGCTATCCAGCAGTTCTATGAAAATCAATAATAATAATAATAATAAGAAGGCAGCTTAGATTTTAGTTTAACACTTGTATCTGTCATATAATACCAATCAAAGTTTTTATAATTTCGATTGACTGTGTTTTGGTAATTTTTCCCCTTGCTTCTGGCGACAGGCCTGGATCAATAGCTCTCTTTTCCAACCCGTCTGACAGAAGAGTCTGTCTTGACAGGTTCTGAGGCTGATGCAAGGTCTGGGAAACTATGCTATGCCCTCAGATAAAGGCCCCATAATTTCTAGCTTATCTCGTGTGTTTTTTTTTCAATTCCGGTCAGTGAGTTCAGAAAGCAAGCAAAAGAGAGAAGTGTCGTATACAAAAACATCCTTTGTTTTTCACTCCGAAATCCACAGAGATCACTTCAAAAATGTCAGGGTTCACAAAAAATCGAAGGCTCTCTTGCATTTCCCCGAACAGGGAGAGTCTGCTGAAAATGAACACAACTTGGAGCAATGCCTTGGATCGCTTCTGCCTAGATTTTATGACCATGGATGGCTTCAACTCCTTGATACCGCCTCCCTCTCCAATGTTTCTGGAAAAATTTCCACACCCATTACAGAAAATACATGCACCATCTAGACTTCCTCTGATACCCCTGAGGACTAGAAACTTGATGGGAGTTGTATTTTAAAAAATAAACATTGATAGCTATTGGGATTCAGTCTGGGTGTTCGATACTCTACATTATAGATAGTCAGGAGAGGCCTTTCTCTCAATCTTGCTACCTTCACAGACGCATTTTGGTGGGGGCCCAAGAGAGGGCCTTCTCTGTGACTGCTCCTTTAGACTCTGGAACTCCCTCCCACTGGAGGCCAGGCTGGCTCCGTCTTTGCTGTCCTTCCGCAAGCAGGCAAAGACCTTTCTCTTCAGGCAGGGTTTCCCTGAGTTAAAAGGGGCTTTTAAATGGATTGTTATGCCTTACTGCTGCGAATGCGTTTTAACCCCAGTTATACTTTTTACTATTGTATTGTGCCGTGATACTCACAAGGAGGGGGGGAAGAGTATCTCCCCAGTTTTATTCCACCACTCGAGTTAAATATGAGATAGATAAAGTTGTATTATTTTCTGCAGTTTCTGTTTTATATCCTGTAATCCTGTATCTGGAACGATTCTTCCATTTAAAAAAATTCCCCCCCCCTCTCCTTTCCTTTTAAAATAAACTTTATGCACCCTTTCAAGCTGATTGTCTGGGAAAGGCACCCTTTTAAGCTGATTGTCTGGGAAGGTAGTTCTACATTTCCCGTCCCTGCTGGGAAGTTAAGCGACTGAATTATCCTGTAATCCTGTATCTGGAACGATTCTTCCATTTAAAAAAATTCCCCCCCCCTCTCCTTTCCTTTTAAAATAAACTTTATGCACCCTTTCAAGCTGATTGTCTGGGAAAGTACAGTAGTTCTACATTTCCTGTCCCTGCTGGGAAGTTAAGCGACTGAATTGGGAATATTGATCTGTCTGGCAACTGGTGGCAACTTATTGGAATTCTAAATCTGAACCCCTGGGTGCGCACCCCACCTTCCAGGCAGAAAGTATGTTGAAGAGTGAAAGAATCTCAGACAGGATACATAGCCTTTCCCCCACCTCCACCCTGCTTGCTCCTACACAGAAAGAGCAGGAGGTAGTGCGGCACAGCGGCTACAGTGTGGAGCTTGGTTTTGGGGGTACTGTGCCAGCCCCCCTCACCCTCCTTACCCCCCCCAGCCTCCTTACGTTCGGGGCATAGAAAGCGCCATAGCAGCCGCTGCAGAAATGGTGCCGACACTGGGTGCACTGGAAATGCATACATCCTCCCCGGGCCAAGGCGTACGAGAATTTGCATTTGGGACAGGCTGGAAGGGAAGGGGAGAAGAAAAGGTCAGGGGGTGCGGAGAAGCCGGGAAGCCGAGGGGGAAAGGGAGAAGCACTCCGTCCCGGTAGAACCCTGGCAGACGCTTCTTCCTTCCTTCCAGAGTAGCCTCTACTCCCTCTTTTCCCCAGGGCATCATCCCATCGCCTATGACTCACGGTGACCCTACGAAGGAGCCGTCTCCAAAATATACCCTGTCCTCAACGGCCCTCCTCACTATTTCCAAATGCCATCTTGTGGCTTCCTTGAGGGAGTCGGTCCATATCGTATTATTGGGTCTTCCTCTTTTCCTGCTGCTTTCCACCATTTCCCAGCAGGATGGGTCTTTTCCAGGGAATCCTGCCTTCTCACGAGGTGCCCAAAGGAGGACCGCCTCGGGCTTCAGCACTTTGGCCTCCAGAGATCGTTGTGGCTTGATCTGATCTCGGACCCCCTCGCGTGATCTAGGAATTCTGCGGCTTAACCATCCGCGAAGCAGGCCAGGGCTCGGTCTTGCTGGGAAACCACGTACGGGTTGGGATCTCGGTCAAATGAGGGGGTAAGGGTGGTGGTGGGGAATACTCACCAATCCCATTCTCCTGCAGGTAGGCAGCTAAGCCCTGAGCTTGGTATTCAGGATCGTTGGCTCGCTTCCATTCCTGGAACTCATCACACGTCAGACCCTGATGCTGGGGTTCCCACTGCAGGACGGGGAAAAGGGGGGGGAAGAAGGCAGGATCAAGGATGGCCGATAAGCGCCCTTGCTTGCCAGGGACTGGGTGCAGCAGGCGGAAGCTCAGCCAGGGATCAAAAGCCTCCTCGGAGCACCTCCGGCTGATGCTTTTTATCCCCATCCCCATCTCAGGCCGAGAGGAGGGACCAGTTCCCGAGGTCCAGGAACTGCACACAGCTCTCAACCAGGTGGGCCTTAAAGGCTGCACACAAACCCATCCCGGGATCCCCACTGACCAAATTATTGCTTTTATTTATTTATTAGGCCCCACCACCACCAACCCACACTCTCTCTCCTCTCTGTGGTTACAGGGACCCACGTGGCCATCATCCTCATCCTCTTGTTGCTCCTGAGCTGTTCTGCGTGACTTCTGGACGCCGCCCCACGGCAGCTCCCGAGAGGGCAGGCTGGGCTTTGAGAGCAGCTGCCCTGCACAGTTTGTTTCCCCAAAAAGCGGAAACCATCAGGAAGCCACATAAAAGTAGCCAGGAGCTGCTGCCACCTCCCAACAGCTGCTGCCTGAGGCAACTGCCCCACATGACCTCCTAAAACAGCGTCTTCCAACCCTGGGTCCCCAGATTTTCTTGGACTACAATTCCCAGAAATCTTGGCCAGTCCAGCTAGTGGGGAAGGCTTCTGGGAGTTGTAGTCCAAGAACACCTCGGTGATCCGAGGCTGGGAACCACTGTCTTAGGGGATCTACGCTACGGGTTGACCCAAAGCTAGGCAAGCTGCTTTTTCTGGATGAGAAAGCCCATCATCCCCTGGGCTGGGGGATTCTGGGAGGGCTAGTCCGACAAGCAACTTCTCCAGGACTCCCGAAGCATCTCTTGCACACATCAAGGCGGGAGACTGCAGCTTCTCCCTCGCCTCTCCCCACCACCAGAAGACGCCACCGACCTGGCGCTTGCAGTGGACGCAGAAGCTCTTCCGGCACTGTGGGCATTTGGCCTCCAAGTGGTCCGATTCGTAGATGAAGCCGAAGGAACACTAGAAAAGAGGATGGGATGTTTTGTTATGTCCTTTCAGGTAAGCAAACAAGGAAACATGGCAGCCATTGCTGGCTCCAGGGCCACAAAGATGCTTGGCTCTTGTCTGTGCCAAAAGGCACCGTTTTCAAAGAAGTGGCCGTGTTAATCTTTGGAAGGAGATCAAAATAAAAGGAACAGCAGTGCTAAAAAACCTGCGTCGGTCCATTTCAACCTACCTAGACATTCATTAGTGACCTGTAGGGAACCGATTTTTTTTTTGGGGGGGGGGGAAACAAGGGTTGAAAGAGAATCAGCCTCAACAAGGCCTATGCGGATGCTGGGGATCTGCTGAAAAGGACTGGATCTGAAATCAAGGGTTCTTGTTACCACATGGGAAATCGTGCGCCGATTCCCCCGGTTTGCCACTTGTGTCAACAATGCTATCATGACCTCATTAACTTTTAACCAAAATTATTCACAGCATGAGGTTGCTGCGGAAATTACAGGTGGTGGAAATTACTGACAGCATGACAGCCTATTCCCTGACCAATGAACCTTTATCCATTACCTCAGGACCCTCCCCCCTTATCTACGGGTTCAAGTATCTGCTGATTCACTTATCCACCGTTGAAAAACATTGCAAGAAAAATCCTGGAAATATATATTTCTAAAGATGAAGTTACCAGAATTGGCCACTAGAGGAAGCCAGAGACTGTGCTCTGTACAATGTTTGCTTTAAGCCACGTTTTTCAGCATCCACGGGCTGGCGGGGGGCTTCGAACTGATCTCCCACAGATATTGGGGGTCTTATTGTATTTGTATCCTCGCTTGGTCGTCGGGCCTTGTCAAAATAGGGCAGTCATACAATCTTACTCTATGGTCAGCGGATCGGACCATTCAGTGGTTTAGGGATCTGGCTGTGGAGCCGGAAGTTGGGAGTTCAATTCCTCCACAGGGCCTCCCGGGAGAAAGAGCCAGCCTGGGTGGCCTTGGGCCAGCTGCATACAGTCCCAAGGTTGCCCCTAGAGGAAGGGAAGGGTAAAGCAGAATATTCTCTACCTGGAAAACTCTTCAAAAGCATTGCCCTACACTAGAATTGACTGAACAGCACACAATTGTATATTGTCTTGTACTTCAATGGACAAAAAGAAAAATCCAAAACACGGATAATGGACCAACGGAGCTGCTTATTTTTTGGCGTGGCAACTGGAAAGGTCCCCATAACTCAAAATGAGTTGAATCAGAAAATGGGCAACAAACGAGGGGGTCGGAAGGACTCGTAAGAGCGAGCGCTCAGGATTTATGTTTGTTGCCTCATTATTCTGGGTGTTATTTGATAACTAGCATGCAGGAAAACAGCTGTCATGATTTATGGCCAAGCCATCATCGATCATTACCTTGTATCACATCAAACAATTAGCCTGGCAGTGAGTGCCCAGTTAGTAATATCCTTTTCCACACCAGATGCCATCAGCTGGCTTCCACCACTGCTACTCAGTAATTTACGCACTGGGTCAAGATTCCTCAGGCGCTTGGTCAAGAACGGCAGCCAGATAAATAAACAGCTTGCACAGTAGTGGAAAGGAAGTGTGAAGTCCTTCAACCATTTGTATGAGAAAAAACTGTTCCTTAACTTTCTTATAATGGTCTGGAACCCGGTGTGAAGGGTTAACGCCCAGGGTGCCAAGCGCTGTAGAATAACTCCTGCAAATACCAACGGGCAAATCAATTTGAGACAAGCAGAAGCAGGGAGAAAGATGAGAATTAGAGAAGGTGGACAACCGGGTTGCCTAAAATGTTTTATAATTTCGGAGAGAAAAAGGGAGAAGACCGCTCCGAATACCATCAGGCTATAGACAGCGGAGGGGGCTATGGCTTGGAAAGAGATTTTAGAGGAAATCCTGTAAGAAGGGATCGTTACGCTGTAGACGAAGGTGTTTTTCCCCTCTTTAGGGAGGCTGACAAAATGTGGCACATAAGCCACAAGGGGAGTCCTGTGGCGTGGTGGTTACGTGCCATTCAGTCGCCTCTGATTTTTGACTAATGAATGACACCCCCAGCCCCCCCCGCAAAATGCCCTATCATTAATAGCTCTGCAAAATCAAGGCCATGGCTTCATTTATGGAGTCCATCCATCTCCTCTATTTGCTCTTCCTCTTTTCCTCCTGCCACTTTTCCTAGCTAGAGCCCTGGACAAAGAAAGAAAGAAAGAAAGAAGAAAAGGGAGTTGGTGGTTGGGTGGGAGTGGGGGGGAGGTATATTATTTTATTTTCCCAGAAGCCTCCAGGAGTGGCAATACGGCTCTAAAATGGAATTCAGCCCCTTCTGCCCGGGGGGGGGGAAGGCCTCCCGAAATCAACAACCTGAATCCCAGAAGGGGCCATTTTTTTCCCCATGTTTTTAACGCTCCTGAGTTAGGGGCCGCCTACACTGGGTCCTGGGTCTCTTGGAAGAGTAGAGGTTGGGAGTTCAATTCCCCCACTGGGCCTAATTGACAGAGGCTGGACTCAATGATCCATAGGCTCTCTTCCAGTTCTGCCGTTCCAAGATGATGATGATGATGATCTTGAGAGGCTTGAAGGATGGCCAGTGATCATGTGATGACGTCTAGTCCTGCGCTGAGCAGGGGGTTGGACTTGATGGCCTTAAGAGTACCCTATGAACTTCATGGTTTGATGACAGTATGATTCTATGTCTTAGGGCTCTCCTCGGTTTATCTGGATACACAGCTTTCATTTCTCCTTCTCTTTTCTCTGCTAGCATTTCCCCCCAAATGCTCCCGGATCTCCACTTTGGTGAACAGGGTGTGACTTCGGCTTATGGCTGGAAACCGCCGAGTTCAAGGGCCGAGCGGTCATTTGGAAAAGGAAATAAGAAGTGTGTGCCCTCCAGGCCATTCAGACTTGCGAGGCGACCCTTTTGAGGATCCAGATGGAGAAAGAGAAGTGGTTTCTCCTGCCTTTCTTCCCTGAGGAGCCCTGAGACGGACAGTGCAGCTGGCCCAAGGCCCCCCCACCCCACCCCAGGCTGGCTTTACTCCCAGGAGGCCCAGCAGGGGAATTGAACTCCCAACCTTTGCAAGCCAGAGGCCTCACTCCCTGAGCTCTCCTTCCGGCGAATGAAATCGTTAGCTAGAAATCGGGACCACTTCTTCAATCAAAGCAGGGCGACCTCTAACCCTGGCAGGGTGGAAAGGGGATGATGCTCGCTCGGGTAGCATTTCCCCAAATCTTGTGCTATTTCAAAGAAAATTATTTTGCCTTCTCCTCTATGGGAAGGGGGAGCTCTCGAAAAAAATGAAAACAGTACCAAGAGGTTCATTAAAGGGACGTTACGGTTCGCGAGAACGTGAGACGTCAAGTGAGCTGCAGGATGAGGCAATTGAGGGTCACTTTTTTCACAGCAGGGAGGTTGGGACGGGGGGGGGGGGGGGGGGAGAGACAGTGAAATACCTGGACGTCCAGAGTAGAGAAGTAGCTCAGAAGTTCTTTCTCATCACTGATTTCCGGCTCGGAGCAAGCCGGGCAGACCAGGTCCGTGATGTGCTTCTCTTTCACGGCGATGGTGAAGTGGAGGGCGAAGCATTCAGGGCAAATGGTACATTCGCACGACGTCAGAGACTGCATCTAAGGAGAGGAAGAGAGCCCGGCCGAATGAGGCGAGGCCCACGCGGCACCCAAGAGCCCACCCCTCGGAAATCCCTCGACCGCAATGAGAAACAGAAGCCGACCACTCTCTCCCCCCCAGCGTGTCACCGTTAAGAGATATGCTGCTTCAGTACAGTCGTGCCCTCCTTTACGATTGCCCCTCATTATGATGAAACCGCATTACGATGATG